TAAGTTTTCTTTTGATTATATGAATTTATCTCCCAAATGATTGAAATAAAAGCAAACTATAATTAAAGGAAAAAAATAAATGCAATGCGTGTTGAATTTTTTTATTTAAATCAATTTCTTTTTTTCAATTCTCATTTATTCTTTTATAAAATTATCAACTTTTTATTTTTAATCTGAAATGCCTCTGTTATTCCATAAAATAAACCCATCAAAATATACAAAACAGAAATAGCTCGATCAGGGAAGATTCCAGATATAAAATTATCCAGTTAATTAAGACACCACACAACTAAACATGTATGACGTGAAATAAGTTAGCACCTAAAAAGTGGAGAACGCACTTTAAACTGCGTTTGATTTATTAAGTGGTAACAAACACATCAAATGTTGTCCAATATACTATGTATTATTAATCAGTTATTTCACCATAGGTTAACAAAAATATTAAATTGGTAAAAATCATGAGTTAAATAGCTGATTAAAAATAACGTGGAAAAAAATAACTAATAGAAATAAATTAGAAAATAGCAAAACCATTTCTAGAGGTAGTAGGAGACACTCCTAATTCCTCCTGTCAAGTAAAATATCATTCAATCATGAAATGCATATACCCTTTCCAAGACAAATAGCTAAAGTACAACATTTTAAATTAAGTCCAAGAGAATTCTGTGTCCATTAGATGGAACAAACAATGGTCTTCTCTGAGTCTCTCTGAAATACACCTAGTTTAATCTCACCCACATAGGAAACACAGCTCAATTTGATCCCCATCACGGAGATCAAAAAATTTCTCAGGCATAAATTTAGTTGATATTGAAATTCAGCTTCTCTTGTTACCCAATTTCATGTGCTAGGTGCAGCTTCCTTTTTCTCGGAAGTCCCAGCTTCAGCCTTAATAGCATCTCCTTCAACCATGGTAGTGTCGCCGCCAGTTGGCTTTGCCACTTCTTGATCTACAATGAAGGGAAATTATCAATATCTTCATGCAATGATATGAATGTGATTTATGGTAGCAACAAGTAAAATAAAACATTACCAAGGGGATTTAGATGGATGATAAAAAATCTTTAGTCAAAGCAAGGATAATGGCTTTCTTACCTTCTTCATCACTATCCTCAAAGTCAGCCATTCCACCATCATCCATACCCATACCACCAAAGTTCTGCAAAACACCAGAAAAATTAGATTGAAAGGCAAAATTTCATAAATAAAATTTCAATAAAAAGGATGTCTGCTAGCCAAAAATCCATACCGAGAAGTCCATTCCTCCCAAATCCAAGTCACCAAGACCTAAGCAAAGGAGGGAGAATATCAGCATTTATATCAAACCTGAACAAAACAAACCATTGCTCACAAGTTAAGATAGATACCATTATCTTCATCTTCATCCACCCATTTATCCCAATCAACTTTCAAATAATGTGGTGCTTTGCCATCCCCACGCAGTAATTTTTTCCACCATCCTATCTCTGCCTTCTCCAAAATGCAGAAGATGCCCCTGACTCCATAATTTATTTTGCTTTCCTATATTATAAGAAAAGAGAAAATTACAAGATAACAAACTTAGCATATGAAATACTTCAATAACAGGTGCTATGCAGGTAAGCACTCTTATTTTATTCTTAGGCACATAACACACACCAAATCTTAGGCCATCAAACACCAGTCAAAAAGACTTGGTTAATTGGATCTGTCCCTAAAACATTATCCAAGATTGAAATTGGCTACTTGGCTTTGAAAACCTAGCATTAACACACAGTTGCTAAACCAGAAGATAAAGCATCTCTATTGGCATGGCTGCTTATCAGTATTTCAAGCTCATTTCAATCCCCAAGTAAAAAGTGGAATTTACCTAATTATCATTCAATCCCTAAATTAACACCATCAACATCAACAACAATGAAAGGATGAAATTAAAACCTATAATTTGGGACTCTTGGAAAGCATCCTATTCTTACCTCCACCTTGACCTTATCATAAAGATCCAACTTCAGCTCATATAACTTATTGTCCGCTCCAGCATTAGCAGAGAAAGTAAACGCCCCATCTGGCTCAAGATTGACCTTTGCATTCTTTGAATCCGGCAATTGCACGGTAATGAAAACCTTGTCGTTCCTCTGTGCCCATTTAACCTCAGGATGACGGCTAAAAAAGATTCCAAGCACAATTAAGTAAAGACAAATCAAATAAAAAATACAATTAAACAAGATACAAACTTCAACCTGGTGAACCCAAATTTGCACCCCCTTCATATATTACAGTATGAATGAACCAACATAAAATCATATAAATAACAATAATTAAAATGCATAA